GTGTTCCCATTCACAAAGCTTATGTAAAAATATTCTTTTACAAAATCTGCATTTTCTATTTTGAGAAAAGGCAGGCTATATGCCTCACGTGCTACCTCCTGTTAAAGGAGAACTATGGGGTCAGTGTTTTCCCCCATAGTTCTCCTTAGGGTAACGGGAGGACACAAACTAGCGTCCTCCCGTTACACTAAGCTCAGTATACAGCTCGCGGGATACTGAGACGCCGCAGCCGGAGCGGATCCCGACATCGACGTCGAGATCCGCCCAGCTGCGTGAGTGACAGCTGGCTCTGCCTATCTAGAGGCAGAGCCAGCTGTACCCGCCCCCTCCCCTGTCCGTTCCGCCAGTCAGCGCTGGCAGATCGGAGCGGGGAGAGGGGAATCCAGCCCCTCCCCCTGTCACGGCAGAGAGCCGTGACAGGATCGAGAGGGGAGCGAACCCGGTATGTGTTCCCTCACCTCCAGATCTACTGAGCTGAGCTGTGACAGTCTCATTGTCACAGGTCGGCTAGAACTATGAGGTGAGTGGAAATCACTCATCTCATAGTTCTCCTTTTAAGTTGAAAGTTATTGCGTTCTTTTATGTGATATTTCTATTGTTACATGTTCCTTGTCTGGAAATTGTCCCAATATTACATTTTATTATATTTAAACCATTTTGCCCATTGCAATTAAGCAATTGGATTTGATAACTAAAAGGTTAACTTTAAATGTAAACATTAGCTCCCACCAGGGTTTGCATCTTACGTGTAGAGGAAGTAGAAAAGGATGTGGCTGACCTACAAGAACTGCGCTTATTTTCAACTTTTATTGTGTAAACAAAAGATATCAGTGGCTATACCATGGAATACAATTATGTTGTAAGCCTACCTACTACACATCTTCTTAGCTACCAAAACATAGTAACAAAATTGTTTCTTAGAAGTGTTATCAAGTAGGTTGCCCCCAGGGGACCCCCACTTGTCCCTCCTCTGCAGATGTTTATGGAGAAGTAGGAAACAACATAATGTTTCTTGTCTGCTCCATCCCACCCTTGACTCCACTTCCTTTTATTGCTGTTGCAGTGAAATGTGGGCCTGCCAGAGGGGATGTGGGTTGGCGACGTACACCAATAGATTTGTTTGTCAGCCAACAGGCCAAACCAAAAACAAATCTAACAGATTCCTCCTTCTAACCTAAACTGTGTGGATCGACCAATCTCCCACTGCTGCTATTGTGTTCTGATAGCTATCGTCCACCACTGTCAGAATGCATGTACAGTGATCGCTCACTTCTCGATCCTGTGCCGGCAGAGAGCCGTGACAGGGGAGGGACTGGATTCCCCTTCCCCTGTCTGATCCTCCAGTGCTGACTGGCAGAACGGACGGGGGAGGGGGTGGGTACAGCTGGCTCTGCCTCTAGATAGGCAGAGCCAGCTGTCAGTCACGCAGCTGGGTGGATCCAGACATAATTGTCGGGATCCGTTCAGGCTGCAGCGTCTCAGTATACCGCGAGCTGTAGCTCGCGGTATACTGAGCTTTGGGTGACGTGAGGACGCTAGTTTGTGTCCTCCCGTTACCCTTAGGAGAACTATGGGGAAAAGCCCTAACCCCATAGTTCTCCTTTTAATTTTCCCAGCAGTGCCCCTTCTAATCTGTCATGGAGGGGAGACTTGAATTAAGTGATTTCAATCCTCATCTCCGTGGTGGATCAGGAGGGGTGCCGCCGCACTAAAAGAACAAAGCACATAAGTGGGTCTAAGGACAATGATCCACCACAGAAGTCGGCCATGCAGCAATACATTATACAGCAATGCAGAATACCACCAGCTATAGAGAGCTACAAATCCTAGCAACAAATTACACAGCAATGCAGAATACAACCATCTATGGAGGACTACAAATCCCAGCACTACATTATACAGCAATGCAGAATACCATCAGCTATAGGAGGCTGCAAATCCCAACTATACATTATACAGCAATACAGAATAATATGAAGCTATACTGTGTGTTACTCCGAAGTGGCAGCCTGATGTCTCCAGCGTCTCAGAAGGGCTGCACAGAGTTTCTGGAGGGCTGTGCTGGGTCTCGGGAGGGCTGTGTCTCAGGAGGGCTGTACGGGGTCTCAGGAGGATGTGTGGGGTCTCACCATGGCTGTGTGTGGACCCACCAGGGATGTGTGCAGTTTCACCAGGGCTGTGCAGGGTCTCAGGAGGATGTGCAGGGTCTTACCAAGGCTATGTGCGGTCTCAGCAGGGCTGTGCAGTCTTACAAGGGCTGCATGCGGTCTCACCAGGGCAGTGTGCTGTCTCACCAAGGCTGCTTGCGGTCTCACTAGGACTGTGCAGGGTCTCACCAGGGCAGTGTGCTGTCTCACCAAGGCTGCATGCAGTCTCACTAGGACTGTGCGGGGTCTCGCCAGGGCTGTGTGGGGTCTCACCAGGGCAGCGTGCTTTCTACCCAAGGCTGCATACAGTCTCACTAGGATTGTGCAGAGTTTCACCAGGGCAGTGTGCTGTCTCACCAAGGCTGCATACAGTCTCACTAGGATTGTGCAGAGTATCACCAGGGCAGTGTGCTGTCTCACCAAGGCTGCATACAGTCTCACTAGGATTGTGCAGAGTTTCACCAGGGCAGTGTGCTGTCTCACCAAGGCTGCATACAGTCTCACTAGGATTGTGCAGAGTTTCACCAGGGCAGTGTGCTGTCTCACTAAGGCCGCATACAGTCTCACTAGGATTGTGCAGAGTTTCACCAGGGCAGTGTGCTGTCTCACCAAGGCTGCATACAGTCTCACTAGGATTGTGCAGAGTTTCACCAGGGCAGTGTGCTGTCTCACCAAGGCTGCATACAGTCTCACTAGGATTGTGCAGAGTTTCACCAGGGCAGTGTGCTGTCTCACCAAGGCTGCATACAGTCTCACTAGGATTGTGCAGAGTTTCACCAGGGCAGTGTGCTGTCTCACCAAGGCTGCATACAGTCTCACTAGGATTGTGCAGAGTTTCACCAGGGCAGTGTGCTGTCTCACCAAGGCTGCATACAGTCTCACTAGGATTGTGCAGAGTTTCACCAGGGCAGTGTGCTGTCTCACCAAGGCTGCATACAGTCTCACTAGGATTGTGCAGAGTTTCACCAGGGCAGTGTGCTGTCTCACCAAGGCTGCATACAGTCTCACTAGGATTGTGCAGAGTTTCACCAGGGCAGTGTGCTGTCTCACCAAGGCTGCATACAGTCTCACTAGGATTGTGCAGAGTTTCACCAGGGCAGTGTGCTGTCTCACCAAGGCTGCATACAGTCTCACTAGGATTGTGCAGGGTCTCACCAAGGCTGCCCCCCCCTAGTTTCGGCACTGACTATGAATTAATTAGTGTATTTGATTTGCTCTTTAGAAAACTCTGAACTCAGTTAGCACCCATTCACAATTGTCCTCTTTACTGCATGAAAATACATTTTAGGCAGAAATTACCAGTTAAAAAAAAGCTTACCGTAATCTGACGGTAGCTGGAATTTTAGCGCCGACACTTACATTGTGCCCTCTCTATAAGTCCCCGTCCACACCTAGGCATTTTGTAGCCCAAAGCTACAAAACACTGAACACAAGGAATCCCACTGTTTTCTACGACCCCTGTTCACACCTGAGCGTTATGTCACCTATAACAAATTGCCTGTCACTGGAAAAGTACATGAGCTGCTTTTCTGTAGATTTCTGTGCTTCCGGCCCCATAGACTTTAATGAAAACGCATGGAAATGCATGACACAATCGGTTTTGCAAGAGCCAGACTCCCACTGCAAAAAGCACTGTGGAAAAAAATGGAGGACAGCACAAGCTGGAAAATGCTTTCAGAAACGCTCAAAAAACACTTAAAAAATGTCTGAAACACTGATGCTTAGGTGTGAATTGAGCCTAAGAGAAAAGAGCAAGGAGCCTGTAGATGAAATTAGGTCTTCTACATCACAAATAGGTAAGACAAGGGGTAGCTAGGTCACCAGGCCACAAATACATGGACTGGGGCGGACTAATGTAAGACCGCTATGTCTGGATGGATACCTCTAGGCAGTTCACACTGGAATGAACCTTTCATGCAGTTAGTTATACAGTGCGTTACTTTATGGGCCTGTTCACACCTAACCCAGTGCGTTCCAGCATTATTAGTGGCTGGAATGCACTGGATCGCATAGAGCAAGCCTCTGTGCATTCTGGTGCATTCATGTCAAAGGCACCGCAGCCATGCCTCCCGCCCACACTGCGAACACGTGCAGTAGAACGCATGGCACAGCAATGCCTGCGGTCCGGTGCAATCGCAAAAAACAGTGCATCCACTAACCGTGCTGGAACACACTGGATTAGGTGTGAACAAGCCGTAGGGTCATTCGCTCCAGGTGCCTTGCTAATACCAGTGTGTCACACTTTTTTTTTGTAAGAAGTGACATTTCATTCAGTTCTACTGGCACAGCGCACAACACTGGGTTCCTACTGCAACGCGGTGGTGTAAATGCACACCGTCCGTAACAAGGGAAATGGTCTCGTCTTGCATTGGGGCTGCAATTGGGCAGCTCCAGTGCAGAGGTTGTAAACACATAAAAGAAATGTTTGTCTGGGTTGGGCACAGTGGAGTTTGTGTAATTGTATACCGATCTGTTCAGGGTTACCACCACAATATGGGATTGGCTTGGGTGTGGATCTGTAGATAGCAGACTATTTTAGGAGTTTCCTCACTGCTGATATAAGTGCTCTGATACGTTTTTATTGTTTTCATTTCATTTTTATATCTGTAACTATGAAAGAAATGTGTTTACAATTCTGTGTGACAGTATGAGGACGTGAAAGCAAAGATGTGTGCACAGCCTGTCTTGTTATAGCTATTCATGTATACATTGTGACAGTGTGAGGCGCACACGCTGATGCTCTTATAGGCGGGAATACGTGTATCGGAGCAGAGTGAAAACATAGTCATATGCCAATATAAGGCGCACACACTGATCCTCTATAGGCGGGAATACGTGTGTTGGACTACTAGAGTGTATACATTGTCACGCTGGGTGTGTTCCCGCCCCGGCAGTGAGCCAATAGGAGGCGGGCATTGCTTCGCTCCACCCCTCAGTCCTGGTGTGTTGTATGAGTGCGTGTGCTCGGGTTTTTGCAGTCATGTCAGTGTGCTCGGAGCCCGGTTTCTCCAGTGAGGAGGTGTTGAGCCTACGCTTCCCTCTGCACCGAGCCTGCCGGGATGGAGACCTTCACTGCCTCCGCTCCTTACTGCAAGGCCCGCCCGGGAACACCGCTCAACAGCTAGGCAAAGAAGACTCCTGTTACGGCTGGACGCCCATACATTGGGCGGCACACTTCGGGAAGGTGACCGAACGGGGCAGACGGGCGGCGGGTTCGGGCATTCGGTTGGTCTGGCACACAGATGAAGAGATGGAAAGTGGGCGGAGCTGGCGCCATTTTATTCAGCTGCTGCACGATAGTGGAGAGGGCGGGGCGAGCAGCTCGTGGATCGGAGACAAAGGGAGGAGGGCGGGCTGTGGGGAGTGGCATGCTAGTAACGGTTGGGGGCGGTGTCTATAGAAGGAACATAAGCTGTGAGAAGAGGACGGGCCCTGGCAGGGGCATGCCAATCGCTGGTGGAGTGGGTGGGGTCTGTAGGAGCAACAGCTGCGGTGAGGCTGGAGAACAAAGCTGGCATGAGAGATGCAGACAGTTCATGTGAACTCATAGCGGTCACAGAGGATCGCATTGTTGGTTCCATTATTTTCTAATGGCACCCCAGTTGTGCCAGGCAGATCGTGCGGTTTCTATGCATCCGCACACACGATCACACTAAAACAGCCGCATGTCATGTATCTTCCTGCGATTGCAGTGTGCATGTCACCCCATTGTCTGCAATCGTGCAGGACCGTGTGATCTCAGATTTTGTGTCTATAGAAGGAACATAAGCTGTGAGAAGAGGACGGGCCCTGGCAGGGGCATGCCAATCGCTGGTGGAGTGGGTGGGGTCTGTAGGAGCAACAGCTGCGGTGAGGCTGGAGAACAAAGCTGGCATGAGAGATGCAGACAGTTCATGTGAACTCATAGCGGTCTAGTTATTTATAATCTAGTGTCTGGGCAGAAGATTGCTCAGGGCTTACTGCCGCTGAGTAGTAGGCCGTCTGCACAGTCATGGGGAGTGCCAAGTGTTAATTTCTTCTGGGTATTTCCGAAACTTGAGTCTTAAACGACTTATCAATGGAAACCTATTTTGTTGTGACCCCTCCACGTCTCTGTGTTATGGTTGGGCATTTACCTTCCTGTAATAAGTAGAACGTTAAAGGCAGAAGATACTTTTTT